CGATCCAGAGATGCACCTTTCTTGATATTGATCGGTCTGAGAGGAACATACCCTTACGTCCCTCTCCGGGTGATGAGGCAAGCTAGTAGGAAGGAGGTTGTACCCAGGGTCGACAAGATGAGTAATTTCGGGGCTGACTTCCAGGATGATGATAGCCCTTACAAGTGCCAAGTTCAGCATATGTGGTACTGCAAGATCGTCATGGGGAAGGATACCATCGAGCTAGATAGATAGCACGCTGGTTGTGCTCCCTACTACTCCAGCTGGTTGGAGGATAATTATGATGGTCTGGGCCAGCCTGGGTTTGTTCGAGGTCACAGGATCATAGATGAAAAGGCCGAGGCACAGGTCAAATACAACCAACTGCGCAAGTGCGAAAGCAAGCACTGTGATATACAAGAAGCCAATCAGAAGTTAATTAAGGAGTGGAAGGACATGGCTGTCAGTGCCAACAAGCGACTGGGATACTTGGAGCGAGGCATAATGGAGTTAGAAAGAAAGTTTCTCAAGAGGGTCGAAGACTGTCAAAATGCTGAGGGAAATGGAGGCGGACATCTAGCTAGGGCTTACCTATTGCTGGGACTTCGCGAGGAGCCAAGGATGCCGAATCTGGGGAAGGTCCTTCTGGGACCAAGTAGATAGGAGTTTATCTTTTCGCTATATAAAAATGTAATAAGGCCTATGGCCATTAGTGACTTTTATTTCCTGTTGTTTAGTGTCGATTTAGGATTCGTCTTATTTTCTATCAATAAAATGAGGCATTTAGCATTGTGAGCTCTCCAAATTAATTTGTCGTTAGTCCTACCTCGGGCGAAAAGAGGTCCCAAAATTAGGACGCGATTTACATTCTCGCACTATGTGTTTAAATATTGCAACGCTTTTTATAAAACTCAACTAACTTGGTTACCTTTTTGTTTTATTTTTGTCTTGTTATTCCCCTCCCCAAAGGTTAGTTCGAGCACTCTGGCAACATCATCCTATTCCATAAGATCCAAGGGCCCTCCACCCACTCCTCCTCTAAGTCCTGTTAAGAACAAGAATAAAGGCAAAATGGAAGATTTGAAGAGCGTTAGAAAGGAGAATTCAGCTGAACGGGTAGAGGTCACTAATGCTCACGGTACTCAGGTTCCTAAGGAAAGTGTATCCCATCTTGAACAGAAATTGCTAAAGTTCCAGGAAGAGCTCGACCAGGTTCGGAATCTGGCAAGATTGTCATTCTCACTCAGCACCCCAGAGATCACCTTTCCCAACACTCAAAAGCCTACACCATCCCAAAATAACCCAAAGCAACAAAATCATCCTGCTCCCCATATTATTCCACCAAAGACCCAATGCAACACTTGCCATACCACAAACAACACCCCATTGCTCCTTCCAGAACTCCAAAACTCCACAAATGACCACTTCCACACCCAACATAACACCCCTATCTACGTGGAGACCATGCCACTCTCCACCTAACCTATCTCAGGCACACCCGAGTCTGATGATAAAGATTTGCTCATCAGGAACCTGGCTGAAGAACTTAAGAAATTGACTAGCCGGATCCAGGGCGTTGAAGGAAACAATGGAATTGAAGGGTTGAATTATGAAGATCTCTGCATACAGCCCGATGTCGAACTGCCCGAGGGGTACAAACCTCCAAAGTTCGAGATATTTAACGGTACAGGTGATCCCAGGGTCCATTTGAGGATGTATTGTGACAAGCTGGTTGGGGTAGGAAAAGACGAGAGAATCCGCATGAAGCTGTTCATGAGGAGCCTAAAAGGAGATGCGCTGTCTTGGTACATCAGCCAGGATCCAAAGAAATGGTCAAGCTGGGTAGGCATGGCATCTGATTTCATGGACAGGTTCAGGTTTAACACAGAGAATGTGCCAGATGTGTTCTACATTCAGAATCTAAAGAAGAAACCTACAGAAACGTTTCGCGAGTATGCTACTCGCTAGAAGTCGGAAGCCGCTAAGGTCAGACCTGCCTTAGAGGAGGAACAAATGAACAAATTCTTTGTCCGGGCCCAAGACCCGCAATATTATGAACGACTAATGATGATCGAAAGCCACAAATTTTCGGACATTATCAAACTGGGGGAACGAATTGAAGAAGGCATTAAGAGCGGTATGGTTACAAACTTCGAGGCCTTGCAAGCTACAAATAAGGCCTTACAGTCCGGTGGTGTGTCCAAAAAGAGGGACGTAGGAGCCGTGATGGTTGCACAAAGAACCAAATCTCCTATCAAATACCAAACCTCCACGACACCTCCACTCACATATCAGCCTACTCCGAACTACCAAGCACCCTCACCGCCCGCCTATCAACCATCTCCACCTCCCATATATCAGCCTACTTCACCCAGATATTCCCAACCCGCACATGTCTACCAAGCCTACAATGCCCAACCATCTCATTACCAGTCACCACCCGTACGCCAAAACTTTTATCGGAGACCCCCAAAACAATACACAGCCATTGCCGAACCATTGACCAACTATATGAGAGACTCAAAGCCGCCGGTTATGTCACCCTCATCCCTGCTTCAACCCCTGAGAATGCTTCTCAGTAGGTTAACCCAAACAAATCCTATGCATACCACTCCGGCATGAAGGGACAAACCATCGACGAATGTCGCTCCTTGAAAGACAAGATCCAGTCTCTAATCGATAATAAGGTTATTATGGCAAAAGAAACCGCCCCGAATGTCCGTAACGACCCTCTGCCGGACCATAAAGGCGAGGGTATTCACATGATTGATGTGAAGGATGATTGGGATCCCGAGGGATCCATCGGGTTGATCACGGAAGGCGATGATCCAAAGAAGCGTAACCTCAACCCCATCAGGGTCCATATCCAACGATCTGAGGTCACTGAGGTAGATGTGTTTATCCCTCTTGAGTTCGAAGTAGCTCAATCAACAAAAGTACTGGCACCATTTTAAGTCGCAGTTTTGCCACCCAAGGAACATGTCCCATTCGAAGTAAAGGTTGTCACACCAATCCTGATGGCAATGTCCGTCACGTCATCATTCCACACAAAAGCTATACCCTAGGATTACACAGCCGAGGCTAGAAGGAAAGGCAAGGTCAGGTTCGAAGAGACTATTGCAGCACAGGGAATGACAAGAACGGGGAGAGTCTATACCCCGGAACACTTAGCTGAGTCAAGCAAACAGGCTTCCAACTGGCCACCCATCATCGAGAAAGGTACGGACGACCTCTGGAGAAAGATACATGCCAAAGAGTACTCGGTGAACGACCAGCTGAACAAAACACCAGCGCAGATATCCATCCTCTCACTGCTGTAGAATTCCAAGACACACAAAAATGCTCTGTTGAAGGTGCTAAGTAAAGCCTATGTACCAAGCAACATCATCGGCGGAGAAATGGCCAACATGGTGGGACAGGTATTAGAGAGCCACAAAATCACTTTCTATGAGGACGAGCTGCCACCTGAAGGGTTGGGTCATAACAGAGCCCTGCATATCACCGTCGACCAGGATCCTGGTCGACAGGGGTTCCAGCCTTAACATCTGTCCTCTGGTAACGCTCAAGAAGTTGGGCAAAGGTTTGCACAAGATAAAAGAAGGAGCTATCAATGTAAAAGCTTTTGATGGATCCCAGAGGACCACCATCGATGAAATCAGCCTGTGTCTTCAAATGGGACCAACATGGTTCGATGTTAAGTTCCAAGTGATAGATGTGCCAGCATCCTATAACCTGCTGTTAGGACGCCCTTGGATTCATTCTGCGGGGACTGTGGCTTTGACACTACATCAGGCCGTGAAATTAGAAAGGAATCACCAGGAAGTGATCATTCACGGTGATGGCAGCAATCCTATATACAGTCGTCAGACCATTCCGGTAATAGGGGGAAGAAGAAAGTTAGGTGGGGAGACCTACCACCACATCAAGCGAGTCAATGCTGTTGACAAAGATAAATGGTGCGACAACAAGATCGAGAGTATATTGAACTGGAGCGGGTACGAACCTGGCAAGGGGCTTGGCAAAAACCTCTAGGGGATTACTAAACACATAAAGCTCAAGAAGCACGGCACTACTTTCGGTCTGGGATACGAATACACTTGGGAAGATTTCAACAACTGGTCGCCGCCATGGCGTGGTCCTTACTACCCACTGGAGCAACCGATACCGCACTTAGAGCAGACTTTCGAACAGGCTGACGTCGTCTATGGGACGGATGAAGAAGAGGCGCTCACAGCAGTGAAAAATTTGTTTTTAGAAGACAATGATATGGATTGCTGTGTTATCCTTGAGGAGGGGGAGGAAGGCCCTTCTATACAGGCCGTAAGCAGAGGAGCGCGCCTCAATAACTGGTCTATCAGAACAACCAGAGCCTGGCGAGCCTCGGGGTAGCAAGGCTAAACAAGCATCATGCACTTTTTTTTTACTAGACGATTTTCTTTTCGCATTTTTGTTCTCGTAATAAGATCTTCAATGTTCAAAACAATTATGAAATTTATCAAAAGCATTTTGACTTTCCTTATGAATTGACACTTATTATTATTTTTCTCTTATTTACTTCATTTATACAGCATTACTATTACTTATTTTGATGAACCAATGACTGTGACACAAATCAACTACCTGCAATGTGCCATGGTGTGTCATTGGAGATTTCAATGCCATTGCCTCTGTAGAAGAAAAGATTGGTGGCATTCCATACCAAATGTCCAAAAGCCTTGACTTTCTGAGCATGATAGAGGACTGTGGACTTATGGATCTGGGATTCTATGGGTCTAAAGTCACATGGTCTAATGGAAGGTGCAATGTGCTATTGTATGGAAAATATTGGACAGGGGATTAGCCAATGATTTATGGTTAGAAGCCTTTCCTGCTGCCACAATTACTCATTTAGCTTCAGCAGGATCTGAACACAACCCCCTACTATTGGAACTTCATACAAGACAAGATAATGGCAAAAAGTACTTCAAATTTCTCAACTGTTGGGTGGATAACCAAACTTTTCTACCACTGGTTTCAGAAATATGGAACAGAAAAGTCAGAGTAATCCTATGTGGGTGTTTCACCAGAAGTTGAAAGCTCTGAGCCATGCCCTAAGCCTTTGGTCCAGACAACAATATGGGAAAATCGTCCAAAAAACCAAAGAATATGAACAAAAGGTGAAGGATGCAGAGCTGATCTGGGCCCAAACAAACAATGATGCTGACAGAATATCTCTCAATGAGCTCAAGGCTCAGTATGTTAGACATCTGAAGGTTGAGCAAGATGTTCTGCAACAAAAAACCCAACTGCAATGGTTTAAAGAAGGGGATGCCAATTCTAGATACTTCCACAGCTTAATCAGAGGAAGAAGAAGGAAATTGTACATCCACAAAATCAAAAATGAAGAAGGTGAGTGGTTTTAGGGTGATAAAAACATTGGGAAGGCTGCCTGTGACTACTTTCAAAACATGTTCACAGATCCTGGCTCAATTATTAGAGAAGACTTGCTGTCCATTATTCCAACCATGATAACTAGTGATGACAATGCCATACTCACCAGAGACCCATCTATGTCAGAGCTCAAGGACATTGTTCTCCATGAATCCTACTAGTGCAGCAGGACCAGATGGTATGAATGGGAAGTTTTACCAAGCCTGCTGGGAAGTGATCAAGGAAGACTTACTCAAGGTGGTGCTCGCATTTTTTAGAGGCAGTCCAATGCCCAGATATATGACCAATGCATGCCTTGTTCTCCTGCCCAAAGTTGAATTCCCTAACAGTCTCACAGAATTTAGGCCAATCAGTCTCAGAAATTTCATCAACAAGATCATTTCCAAGGTTATCTTTTCAAGACTTGGCCCTATCCTTCCAAAGATAATCTCTGCAAATCAATCAGGCTTTGTTAAGGGCAGAAACATCTCTGAAAACATTATGTTTGCACAAGAAATAGTGCATGGTATCAAGAAGCCAACAATGGGATCAAATATGGTCATCAAGCTTGACATGGCTAAGGCTTATGACAGAGTCTCCTGGAGTTTTACCTACATTATGCTCAGGAGAATGGGCTTCAGTGAAATGATCGTTGACATGATCTGGAGAACAATGTCCAATAACTGGTATTCAGTCATAGTTAATGGCACCAGATATGTTTTTTTCCAATCTACAAGAGGCCTCAAATAGGGTGATCCACTTGCTCCTTCCCTATTCATCATAGGAGCTGAACTCCTATCCAGAATGCTCAACTTGCTAAATCATGATCAGCTATTTCATGGATTTTATATGGAGAAAAGGGGACCTCAAATTAACCGCTTGAGCTTTGCTGTTGATATCATCATTTTTACTTCTGGCAGAAGAACATCCCTGAGGAAAATCATGTGGATTCTTAGCAATTATGAGAGCACATCTGGCCAACTCATTAATAGGCATAAGAGTCATTTCATGACTGCTCCATGTGCTATGCCAAGTGCAGTCAGAAGAATTCAAAGGGAGACAGGCTTCTCTGGGAAAGATTCACCTCTCACATACCTAGGATGCCCTTTATACATAGGCAGAAGCAGAATTATGCACTTCAATGGCCTTATCTCTAAAGTTCTAGGAAGAATCAAAGGCTGGCATGGAAAAATGCTTTCCGATGGAGGCAGGGCAACCTTGATCAAATATGTCCTCCAATCCCTACCAATTCATCTCCTCTCAGCTGTGTCCCCTCCTAAGACTGTCATGAAGCAAATTGAAAGGTTGACAGCCAACTTTTTCTGGGGAATGGATAAGGACAAACACAAGTATCACTGGGCATCATGGTTCAAACTATCCTTCCCTCCAAATGAAGGTGGTGTGGGTTTCAGAACCATTCAAGACTCATGTAAAGCCATGAAATTCAAGCAATGGTGGCAATTCAGAACAGCAAACTCTCTTTGGAGTTCATTCCTAAAGGCAAAGTACTGTCAAACATCAAATCCAATATCCAAGAAATGGGATTCAGGCCAGTCACAAGCATGGAAAAGAATGATGTTCAATAAGAAAGAAGCAAAAAAAGTAATCCAATGGAGGCTCCACAATGGGAAATGCAGTTTCTGGTGGGACAATTGGCTTGGCTCTATGCCAATTGCATTCAGCAGAACTGAAGGGGGTAGACCTGGCAACACATCAGTGTCCAATTTCTGGAATGAAGGTCGCTGGGATCTCCAAAAGCTCAATGGAACTGCACCAGCTCACAAAATATCAGAGATCATGCAGACAGCTATATATTACAACCCTGATCTCCCTGATAAACCTATCTGGACTCCTACTATCAGGGGTAAGTTCACATGTACCTCTGCATGGGATCTCATCAGAAAGAAAAAACCACCCAGCTTCACAAATAGGAGGATCTGGCATAAAAAAATTCCCTTTTAGTGGTCCTTTTGTTTGTGGAGAGCCCTTAGAAACAAACTCCCAACTAATGACAGAGTGCAAATCTTCTGTGGTCCAACTGTCACCAGGTGTGTATGCTGCTCTATGCATGCTTTGGAAACAGTGGAACACCTCTTCAGTTCTGGTAACTTTGCTAGGATCATATGGAAAAAATATGGGGGTCATGTGGGCATCCAAACTGAGAACTTGCCTTTGAGGTTGCTCCTTATGAAGTGGTGGATGATGAAGGCCTGTAATTTTGTGCAAAAGCTCATTCTAGATACCCTCCCCATCATCATCTGTTGGAATTTGTGGAAAAATAGATGTAGTGCCAAGTATGGAGCAAAAAACACCTCCCTAACTACGGTCCTTTACTCCATCAACTCAGACATCAACCTACTCCTAAGGTCCAATTTTCCTGTCATCCAATGGCCTTTCAACTGGAGGGAACTCTACTCCTTCATTGAAAACATTCAGCATCACACTACCATAATCCAAGTCAAATGGACTAAACCAGACAAGGGCTTTGTAAAGATCAATTCAGATGGAAGTGCTATGACAAATCCTGGAAAGATTGGTGGAGGTGTAATTATTAGAGATCAACAGGGCCACTTCATTCATGCAATGACCTTTCCTTTGGGAGAGGGTACCAACAATTATGCTGAAACTGAAGCGGCCAGGATAGGAGTTCAATGGTGTTTGGACAATGGAATTCCCAGAGTTCATTTAGAAGCAGATTTTGCACTACTTGTTAGGTGGCTGACAGAGGATAATGATTCTCCATGGGTTTTGAAACAAAAGATTTCCCACCTAAGGCTTCTGTGCTCTCAATTTGAGGGGTTCAAAGCTTCTCATGTATATAGAGAAGCAAACTGCCCTGCTGATTCCCTCTTAAAACTTAGCCAAGACCTCAACACTCTAACAAATTTCACCACTGCTTCCTCTCTCCCACCCCACATCAGAGGCCAAGTTCTCCATGACCAATTGGGTACCCCAGCTTTCAGGCACAAGAAAACCAACATGCTGATAGTATCCTCTCAAAATGCAAACTCTTCTTCAACATCTAATGGTTATGGTTGAAACATCATCAAAGAAGGGGTCCCAATTATCGTCCAAATGAAATACCTCATGTACCAGTTGTGGAATCAGTCAGCCCAGATTTATCTACTAATTCTGTGTGTTTTTTTTTGCAGGTTCCCTTCCCTTATGAACCTTACATTCCTTTGTGGCTGTTTCAAGGTGTGGTATTAGCACATGTGCTCATCCTCCTAAAACAACAACACAGGTCTAGTATAGATCATAAAGGAAAGGAAAGTTCTCAGTATCCAAGACCTCATCACCTAAGTAGTCAAAGGACTGATGCAGGTCATAGAGAGAAGCAAAATCCACAAGGCATAGAACTCACTCTTCACTATGCCTTTTTTCTAGCATTGGCCTTCTGTATACTGTGGAATGATCTTTGCCTCAACAAAGATCACATCACACATGCATACCTTCATAGGAAAACACCTCCCTTCTACACCATATATCACAACAGACCACCAGATGATCACCAACAACACAAAAACCTTCTCCAAAAAACTGAGAAACACGTAAAACAAATGCAACCCACACCCCGTAGATGTACACTTACCCAGGCACCTTTCACCCTTATCATCAATCCTTTTAGAACCCACAAGAACATAGGAGCACCTCCCTTCTTTTGGCAACCCAACCATGCACAATCCCCGGAACCTGATAAACACAACAGCCTCACAAAACAGCCTCACAAAGCTGGGCTCTGTTTTTCACTAACATTGTTTTCTATTTTGCAGGTACTCTTTCCCTTGCTTGTGTCACTCAACTGATATGGTTTTTGGGAGTGGTATTAGCACTTCTAGTGTTCATTCTCCTGGAACCATACCAGCTGACACACCAACATCAACCCCTCAGGCACATCACCACACAAAGGCAACAGAAAATGCAGAAAGCAGCAGTTTTACCTGAAGGCTATCTCATTCCATTATACTGCTTTACACTTCAGCCCCAACCCAAGCAACCATACCAACCAAATTGTTTTCATCATTGCTGCAGAAATCCAAATGCCTGTAGTAATGCCTTTTCAACTCAGTTTCAATTCCACAACATGAGCAACACCTATAAAGCTGATTGCAGTCCACACAAGAACCTGGAGATTGAGCTCCCTTTCACTAACATGTTTGTTAATTTTTGCAAGTTTTCTGAGCAGATTTGGACAGTTTATGTGCCTAAAGTTAGTGGTATTAGCTTCTATGAAGCTCATCCTGCTGAAAGTACATAAACTGCTCCAAGTCTCTCAAACCAGCTTCAACCTTGTTCCATTCAACAGCTCATCTGGGATGCCTTCAGTACCTTCAGTGCTCAGTCAACAACAGTTTCAAATATGCTGCTTCATGCTGTCTTTGAAGCAGCAACACTCACAGTACTTGGACACAATGCAGCTGCAGCATCTACAACAGGAAAACACTAGGGAAACAAACCTAATCATCCTGCATTCTCCTCGGCAGCCTCCACTAGCAAAGCTCAATCATGACAGTTCCTTCTCTATCAGACAGAACTCAGTTGAAGGCCACAAGCATCCATGTGAAGGAAGACAATGCTCCCTCCCTTCTGTCACCTTCAGCAAGCAACAACCCTTCTCATCTATTGGGAACCTTTTGTTTGCTATCTTCACCTTAGCTTTCTCTGTAATAGATGTCAAAGCAAGGATGAAGATAGCATCTCCTAACATCACAAGTTTTTTGCATTTCTCCTTAGGGATTTCCTACATCTATTGTAGAGGTAGATTGGTTTGTATATGGAAGTCAATCTTCCAACTCAACAACTTGGTAGCATTAGGTTTACATGTGCATTTTTGTATAGTTGACCTAGGTTTACTTCATTCTGTTTTTGTATATCCAATTGACTATCATAATCTGATAAGTCAATTGGATCATCAGCATAGGTCTAACTCACCACAGCTCTCAGGTTTATTTGGTCACTATATGTTTATGACCAGGTGCCTTTGTACCATTTCTTGGTGGTCAGGTCTATGCCCCCCTCCTATGTTATACTTTTATTTATTATATATGAAAATCAGCCCTAGGCACAATGCCTAGTGGATTCAACAAAAAAAATGACTGTGCATACAATGGGACAACGCAACAAACGGACATTGATTCAGAGGAAGATGATATACCAGAGGAAACTGTCAAAGAAGTAGAGAACTTTGAGAACATACCTAAGTCCAACCTGGACGAGACAGAAATTGTTAACCTGGGAGATGCAGAAAATATCAAGGAAACACGAATCAGCGTTCATTTGTCGCCATCAGAAAAGAAGGAATACACAGAATTTCTGAGGGAGTATGAGGACATATTCGCCTGGTCATATGATGAGATGACTGGTCTAAGCACATCTATTGTGGCCCATAAACTGCCAACTGGTCCAACATGTCCTCCGATAAAGCAGAAGCTCAGGAAGTTCAAACCTGATATGTGTTTGAAAATCAAGGAAGAAGTCACTAAGCAGGTCAAAGCTAAGGTTCTCAGGGTAGTTGAGTACCCGACATAGTTGCCAACATTGTACCAGTACCAAAGAAGGATGGGAAGGTCAGAGTCTGTGTCGACTACCGGGATCTCAACCGGACCAGTCCGAAAGACGACTTCCCTTTGCCGAATATACACATCCTGATTGACAATTGCGCCAAGCATGAACTGCAGTCGTTCGTGGATTGTTTCGCCGGTTACCATCAGATCTGGATGGATGAAGAAGATGCTGAGAAAACAGCTTTCATTACGCCGTGGGGAATGTATTGTTACAAAATGATGTCGTTCGGCCTGAAGAATGCAGGGGCCACCTATATGAGGGCCATGACTACCATTTTTCATGATATGATACACAAGGAAATTGAGGTATATATAGATGATGTTATCATCAAGTCCAAGAAGGCCGCGGATCACATGGAAGATTTGAGGAAGTTCTTCAACAGATTGCGGAGGTACAACCTGAAACTAACCCCGTAAAGTGTGCATTTAGGGTTCCTGCTGGGAAGCTGCTTGGGTTTATTGTGAGCCGCCGAGGAATAGAACTGGATCCGTCAAAAGTCAAAGCCATTCAAGAACTACCACCGCCAAAGAACAAAAAGGACGTGATGAGTTTCTTGGGAAGACTCAACTACATTAGCCGGTTCATAGCACAGTCCACAGTCATCTGCGAGCCAATCTTTAAGATGTTGAAGAAGGACGCCGCTACCAAATGGACAGACGACTGTCAAAAGGCCTTCCACAGAATCAAGGAATACATGTCAACACCACCAGTCTTGGTCCCGCCTGAGCCAGGTAGAACCCTATTACTCTACCTTGCGGTACTGGACGGAGCTTTCGGTTGCGTTCTGGGGCAACATGATGAAATAGGAAGGAAGGAACAGGCCATCTATTATCTCAGCAAGAAGTTCACTCCCTACGAAGCCCGGTATTCTCTGTTAGAGCGCACCTGTTGTGCTTTGACTTGGGTGGCCCAGAAGCTGAGGCACCACTTCTGTGCCTATACTACATATCTCATATCAAGGATGGATCCATTATAGTACATCTTTCAAAAGCCCATGCCCACCGGCAAGCTAGCCAAGTGGCAAATCTTGTTGAGTGAATTTGACATTATCTATGTAACTCATAAGGCAATCAAGGGACAGGCAATGGTAGATCACCTTGCTGAAAATCCCGTATATGGAGAATACGAACCTCCGAAAACGTATTTTCCTGACGAAGAAGTATCATTCATAGGAGAAGACATTGCAGAATCCTATGATGGTTGGAGAATGTTTTTCCATGGAGCAGGAGCAGTCCTAGTATCAGAAACCGGCCAGCATTATCCAGTGTCTGCCAAACTCAGGTTCCCGTGCACCAACAACATGGCTGAATACGAAGCTTGCATCCTAGGTCTAAAGATGGCCATTGACATAGACATCCAAGAGTTGTTAGTGATCGGAGACTCAGACCAACTCATACATCAGGTACAAGAAGAATGGGCGACCAAGAACTCCAAGATACTCCCGTATCTTCATCATGTACAGGAGTTGAGAAAAAGGTTCACAAAGACAGAATTTCGACATGTTCCCAGAATCCAGAATGAATTTGCTGATGCATTGGCTACCCTGTCATCCATGATACAGCATCCTGATAAGAATTTCATTGACCCCATACCGGTGAAAATTCATAATCAGCCAGCTTATTGTGCCCATGTTGAAGAGGAAGCAGATGGAAAACCTTGGTTCCATGATATCAAGGAATATTTGGCGAAATGAGATTACCCGGAGCTTGCCAATCATACCCAAAAGCGCACACATCGGAGGTTGTCTAACAATTTCTTTCACAACGGAGGAATCCTGTATAGGAGGACTCCAGATTTGTGATTGTTAAGGTGTGTCGACGCAAAGGAAGCATCCAAGCTGCTAGAGGAAATTCATGCTGGGACCTACGGTCCACATATGAATGGTTTTGTTTTAGCAAAGAAGATACTCCAGGCTGGTTACTTTTTGATGACTATGGAGGCAGATTGCATCTAGTACGTCCGAAAATGCCATCGCTGTCAGATTCATGCCGACATGATAAAGGTGCCGCCAAATGAGCTCAATGCAACAAGCTCGCCCTGGCCATTCGCCGCCTGGGGAATGGATGTCATTGGTCCAATTGAGCCCACTGCTTCAAACGGACACAGGTTTATCCTGGTAGCCATCGATTATTTCACCAAGTGGGTCGAAGCAGCATCCTACAGGGCAGTGACTAAGAAAGTCGTGGCAGACTTCGTCCGCGACCGTATTGTTTGTCGATTCGGTATCCCAGAGTCGATCATCACTGATAAGGGCTCCAATCTCAACAGTAACCTAATGAAAAGCATGTGTGAAACCTTCAGAATTAGCCACAAGAATTCCACAGCCTACAGGCCTCAAATGAATGGAGTTGTGGAAGCCGCCAACATGAATATCAAGAAGATATTGAGGAAAATGATAGAAAAGCACAAACAGTGGCACGAGAAGTTATCGTTTTCTCTATTGGTGTATCGTACCAAAGTTCGCACTTCGATCGGGGCAACCACCTATATGCTGGTTTATGGTACAGAAGCCGTCATTCCCGTCGAAGTGGAAATCCCTTCCTTAAGGATCATACAGGAAGCTGAGCTCGACGATGCAGAATGGGAAAGAGTCATTACGAGCAGCTAGCTCTTATAGATAGGAAAAGAATGAATGCAGTGTGTCATGGTCAACTTTATCAGAACAAAATGTCCAGAGCTTTCAACAAGAGAGTCAGTCCGAGACAATTCACACCGGGGCAGTTGGTATTAAAGAAAATTTTTCCGCACCAAGATGAAGCCAAAGAGAAGTTCTCTCCCAACTGGCAAGGTCCGTATATGGTTCATCGGGTTCTGACAGGAGGAGCCTCATACTAGCAGAAATGGACGGAGAAGTTTGGCCAAAGCCGATTAATTTAGATGCAGTCAAGCGCTACTATGTGTAATCTTTATGTTTTCCCTACATGATGTAAATTGAACTACGTCTGACCTAATTCCCGTTTAAGAGGGGATACGTAGGCAGCCTTATGGGTTCGGTCACAATTTAATAAAATTTTTATTTCCCCCCAAAATTGGAAATTGGGGCAGAATTTTGAGGAGGACCCTCAAAATTTCGAAGTAATTTCAGCCAATCAGCACAAGCAGCAGTCAGAAGCGTCCAACTTATTAAATTGGGGCATAATTTTGAGGAGGACCCTCATAATTTCGTAGCAAGAGAGGTTGCAATGTCTCGAACCGCGTCACAGTCGTCGGTTCATCTAAAAATACTTTAATCATACATCTATGCTTTTACAAAATCATGCATGTTTATTATTGAAACTGCTTTGTTCAGCAACGCTACCCCAATGATACATACAGTATCACCAGATCAAAGCCAAGCAGGTCAAGCAGAGCCAGCGGGGATACGAACTAACCTCCCCTTCTACAAAACTCACAATTTTTCTTTAGATGCAGGCGTTTGGATTGCGAAATCATCAAACATGCTATACACTCACGAGACAAACGTTAATACAACTCTCAGAACCGTTGCGTTTACTCACATTTGCTATCCACACACACCAGTGACATTCCGTGTGTCACAGTGTCCCCAGCAGTCACGATGTCGCAATCTACTATCAGCTAAGAAAAGCCCTGTTACCATTTGCCCTTTTATTTCTTGCATAAGGCTACCATTCTGCTTTCCGAGGTTAAGCTCTACCTCTATCTGCATTTGCATTGCATAAGGCTACTATTCTGCCTTCCAACTTGGATAAGGCTACCATTCTGCCTTCCGAGGTTAAGCTCTACCTCTATCTGCATTTGCATTGCATAAGGCTCTATTCTGCCTTCCAACTTGCATAAGGCTACCATTCTGCCTTCCAAGGTTAAGCTCTACCTCTATCTGCATTTGCATTGCACAAGGCTACAATTCTGCCTTCCAACTTG